CGCCTAAGTCTTTTGTTATTTTTTTCAATCAACTTTTTACTTATATAAATTGTTTAATAATAACAGGTTCTTTACGAATGTGTGTCATACTTAATAGCGTGATTTAGCTATAAATCTACTCAATGTTTTTAAATATCAAGTGAAGTTAAAGAAATTCCATAGCTATTCAATCTGGATCTTACCAAAAATGTATGAAATCATTTAAGTCCAAAGCTGATATTCATAGTATTTGTATTTGTTTATGTATATAAATAATCCCATATACTATATATAAAAATCAAGTTTGTCGCCTAAGTTATTTGATTTTTTTTTTTTTACGTTTCGTCACAATTTATGACTGGAATATTTATAATAAATTACAATTTTAGAAGTGTTGCCAAATTAATGAAATTTGTTAAAAAAAAAAAAAATAAACATTAAAGATCAATGACGTCTTTCGATTGAGAATATTTATCCCTAAATTAATAATCTTTTCTTTAATATAATTTATTTTCAATATAGACCACATTTCATAAGCTTAACTAAAATTCTCTTAGGTCTGACCATTCCAGTATACGAGCATTCTATCTTAAATTATTCAAAATTAAACCTCTTCAAAGTCAAGTTTGTCGCCTAAGTCTTTTTGATTTCTGTTTCTCTTCTGGAAACGATTTCATTTCAACCATTTGAGTTTGTCATGTAAATTTATTGACGGGTCTACGTGACAGTTCTTACAATCTACAAACGATAATATGAACACGTAACGTCGAAGCGACTAGCAGCAGTTGCAACAACAGCAACAGCAGCAGCAGGAACTACATTAATCATATGCGCAAAAGACGTTAGCGAGTGAAACTACTTTAGTTATACTTTGTATTCCGTTTTTTTCCCACCTCAGGTAGCTGATGACAGGGCATTAATGTTAGCATCGGGCACCTGGGCAAACAATAGATTAAATAATCTAATGTTCAGATCGCCGTTCAATCAATCGATCCAAGTTCAACCACACCCGCACAGACAAACCACAATCCTCAACCACTAAGGCCGAATATTTGCAAAAAAAAAAAAAAAGCAGAGTTCAAAGCCCCGCAGCACGGCCAAAGGGCGACGACGCAGCTGCTGCTGGTGCACAAAAATAAAAAATAAGAAGGAGACAAGAAAAAAGAAAGAAGCTCGAGCTATTTTTAAGCGCGCTTTAATTCAATTTATTTGCATTAACTGGCTGATATACATAAATCGTATATCTGAATCACAAACGGAAGTCGACGGCGCGCTGAGTTGAAGCCAATTCTTGTAGGAACAGCCTCGCCAATAACACATGCGTTAATGTATGTATGTAAAACGGGCAATAAATAATTTAGAAAGTAAAAGCCTGCGATTGTTCGTTCTGATCAGGTGCACCAACAGCAACAACAACTGGAAAACTCGTTGCTGTATCATGCGCCAATAATTCTCATGATTTATGCCACTAGCTCTAACTGCACACGAATTTATAAAAGTCAAACCTAATGCGACTATTACAGATGTTATACAATAATTAAGTCATCACCGAGCACGAAAGCAACAGAAACGAGATGGTTTTATGCAACTATTAGATGCTCTTCAAGTCTATGAAACACGYCTGATAGGCTAAGCTCTTCAGCTGGCAGTTGGATGTGATATAAGATATGGCTTGTGTAGCTGCTCATGTATCAAGTAGCAGATATAATTAGAGATGCTCATATATCATATATCATTATGAAGTATATAGAAGATATAGCAGAATGAGAATCTCAGGATGAGATGAGTAGCCTTAGATAATTGAACAGTGTGAAATTTATATTGATTAATTTACAAAGTATGCTAGGAATCGAGATAAGGATATGAAGATAAAGTGTTGAAGTATTAGATAAGTAGATAAGTAGCATATATTCCAAGCAGAATTTACTATTATAATGTTTTTATCTACTCTAATTTTATCATTCTTTTAACACTTAATTAGCTTTAATAAAAAAATACTGACTTATCAAATTCTTTAAAAATTGTCTAGAAAACTCATTACATTTTTAACAATACAAAACGATTTTGGAGTCGAAAAAAGAGTTTTGAGAGAGAGATTCTAATTCAAACTTGGGATTGTGCACATCTAATCTTCAAAATAAAAAAAATAAATAAATTAAAAAAAAAAAAGCCAAACACCTGTTTCACATTTTAATTATTATTTACTAATTAGATTTATAACCCTGGAATTTATAATCTTGCAATATAAAACTTTCTCTCAAGGAACAACAAATTAAAATGCATATTTCTATTAAACATTTACTATAAGCATAATAAATATACATAAATAAATATACATACATATATTGTGTGACCTTTTTGGTCACGCACAATAGTTTTATATAGCTAATTAATACACATCTATATTTAATTACATATCTACAATATATGTATATACAGCACTTCATGTATATATTATTATTATATATATGTATATACAACTAGATATATATTTGTATATGCAGCACGATTGCCGGAAGGCTATTCTCAAATGCTTTTCACGAGTCGCGTGAAAATTTTCCTGCTGCATGACTGTCGTGCGCCCACCCTTCGAATGCCACGCCCATTGTGCTGCAGTGCTTCAGGGATTATATGAATCTGTAGCTAAAAGCGGTATTTGTTAGCGTCAATTAGCATTTTTGAAATTCTCACTTCAAATCCAATTTCAGTGTTACGTAATAGCCGGCTAAATACTTAATTCGTATCTATAATATATTTCATTGTTTATTAACTTGTATTTAGTATTTTATAAAACATATTTTACTTGCAGCTCGTTTGGCTGCATTTTTTGTTGAGAACCGGCAGTTTTGTTTCTTTTTTGGTAGTATTTATATATTTTGTGCTGTGTCGTGTTGTGTTGTGTTGTGTTCGTGATAATGTTCGAACAAATGGGCGGTGAATAAACTAATTAACATGCACAATAATTGATATATTTTTAAACACATACCTGTTCAACCTTTCAACCGGATGAAATGCGACCAACAACAACTACTGTGAGCGTAGTTTTTGACTGGCGTTTGGATCATTAATCAATATGGAACAGTGCGTCAATCAAGTCTCCTTAATGTGGATTACCCATGATTCATAGGCGTAAATAGCGTTCAGAATTGGGAGTGAGAGGCAGATGGGAAAGACTAAGGAATACTACGGATCGTGGGTGAGTAACTATTAAATGAAATATAAGATATTTATTAACTATTTTACATATGCTATGAACATCTGCCTTGGTATCAAATCGAGCATAAATGACTTATGCTCTATATAATCTAAATTTAGAGCTTATTTCTTATGCCTCTTCTTGTTAAATTTATTTACTAAATTCAAGCATACCCTTTTCGCTTATTTTTAATGAGTACGCGTAATAAATATAATCGTTTTCTATATGAAGCATATCCAATTGGCTGTTTTTGGCTTGAAAAGCCTTACTAATTGTGGATATTCCACATTTAATTAACTTTAAAATTGAAATCACATGCAATTAGCAGCAGGAGTATGACAAATCTGAAATAGGATTTCGCAATAACATAAAAGCGTGCCTTATTGTCTGAGACTATTCGGCTTAAACAAATAGAAGCATGATGTGAACAGGTTATATCTATCCCAATCCATCAATTCATCAAGCCAGAGCTGAGAGCAGATTGTGTTTACTGACAACTGGTACAGATGCATTTAGCCAGATCAGATAGGTCATATAGCTAGAGCTGCATAGGTTATAAACCCACAAATTAGATATTGATACGCATATTTTAGCTTAACTTTTGCTTTGTATCTCTCATATATAGGGTATATAATAAGCCCCTTTAATTACTGTCGTTCAAGGTGGAATGCCAAAAACACCTTCTCTAGATTCTTTCAATACGTACGCTTATTCAATAGAGCTGAACTCTCGTAACCCCGTTCACTATGCATTACCAGATACTATGCATTTCCCCCATGTGAATTATCATCGCGTTCGTTGCCTATGTCTTTCGTTGCTCAACTGCAACGACTCATATGTGCTAACTATGCATACTATATAGTAATAGGAATAGTAATAGTAGCAGCAGCTATGTCATAATTTATATATAGTTAGTACGGCTAACTGGTGTATCTGCAATGGTAATGAAAACCGTTTAAATATAACAAATGGCAAAGGCCAATTGGCCTTGTTGCATAGCGTCTTGGCGACCAAAAGATCTGCCACGAGCTTCATTCTGTTGTCAAGGGGCGGCGGGCAAGCAAGAGGTGTGCTAGGTAGCTCGAGCGGCATCGCGGGGCACAAGAGTGCAAAGGCATTAGCTGGCCGCCAATATGATCAAGGTGGTGGTAGTCAGTCAGTCAGTTGCAATTGTATGCAAATGAACGCGTGCGCTGCAAAATTGTTAAATAATTGGAGAGGTTTATAAAACAATAAATTGCATTAGTATTATAATTATTATACATAATTATTCAGCCCCGTGCCTTCTATTGTTGGCAATATATATATACCATAAATACTATACAAACTTCGAATAATATTATATTGCTATATATATAAATTAATTTTAATTAATTTTAAAGTATCCTTAAAACTACAAATAAAACCTGTTCTCAACTCAAAATTTTTTAAATAAATAAAAATCTTACTTATTTTAAAATACTAAGTAAAGGCAAAAACATATTTCAAACTAAAGCCCGCCACAAAAAATACCACAGCTGAAATACAGCTGACGTTTGCTCATTTCGAAGCGAGAGCGATAGTCCGCAGCTATCGAGCAGTTATCGAACCATCAGTTGTTTTTGTAAACATAATGGAAGTGAGATATCGGCAGCTTTGATTTAAATGTAGTTAATAAATTACACAAGATATTCAAGCTGTGCAACGGAAAACGATAATATTACCGTTTGTAAACGGCAAAATCGTTTTACCGGTTTGCTCTCGGCTTCCCGCAACGTGAACGATAAGTATTTCAAACGAATAAGAATGAACCACTGAGCTAGTTCATTTGTTACAAGTCGTTCCGATGAGCATACTCCAAATGGCTTGGTGCGACTCACAACCCGTAATTACATATAAACTCGTAAAAAATTCGCAGTAGACTGCTCTGCGATGGCCACCTGGACACAAAATGCGCCGACAGGTGTCAGCAAACGAAGGCGTTGGAATCTCGAAGGTATTTCCTTGCAAACAGCACCCAAAATGCAACAGTTTCGCATATGAAAAGTGAATCTCTCATTGTTACGCTTAGATCGTGCTTCACTAAACAAGCTCAAGGAACACATTGCAGAGGAGGGCTGTCCACAGGTGCAATATGATCTGGGGCGCAAACTGCTGGAGGATGCCATAGGTATGCAGCATGCAGCACGGCTGAACGCTATTGCCACTCCTTTATTGCAGAGCCCAACATGGCCAATGGCCAGGAGAGTCAAAAGGCGGTGCACTGGCTGGTTAGTGCCGCACAGCAAGGCCATGAAGATGCAGTGTGTCTGCTGCGAAAGTGCTACAATGCTGGCAATGGCATTACGGCGGAAAATGCTGAAGAGGTGCGTCGCTGCCTGGCCATGACGGCGGGAGAGCGCGCCGCAAGGAAAGCAGCTCGCGAGCTCTTCGCCTGCCTATCCAATGGCAACGAGCACATCACACCCAAGCAGCTGGAGCGTAAAATGCGACGCATTTATAATCTACAACGGAAAAGACGACGCCGCGGCACCAATGACGCTTCCTCATCTAACACGGACGAGGAGACCAGCGAGAGCGAGCGCGAACCCTTGGAAGATGCCGCAACCATTGGCCGCACTAATGTCGAGCGGCGTCGTTTCATAACCGAGGCGCATTTGGTATCAGCTGCTTCAAACTATTCCGCCGGCCGCATGCCCAGCGTCAATGAGACATTGACGTTGTCCGTGCCGCATCCACAGAGCTTGGATCATGTGCCCTGTTTCTATCGCATGATCTTTCATCCATTGATTTTCTTTACGCTACTCTACCATCGATTCATCAACCTGGTCGTCGCGTTGCCCGCCATGCTACCTCTGAGTGTACGTTGCAGCGTGCTCGTACTGCTGACCTGGTGGAGCAGCGTACAGGATAGCGAACGGCATATGTTGCCGATGATTAGCTACTATCTCAGTCTGGGAGTGATGCTCTGGTCGACGTGTCGTATGCTCAAGACCAAACAACAATTTGTGGACTTCCGCATCTGGTCTGGCCTATTTCTAAGCTACGGCGATCACAACATCGAGGCAGAGATCTCGGAGCAGCGCTTCCTGCGCAACAATATGAAACCGTATCTGTACTTCTTTTGTGCTTTCATTTGTAACCTAATTGTCTATCCGCTGGTCGCCGACGCCTGGCTGCCCCACTCCGAGCTGACCATCATCTCAGGGGCAAGCACATTCATCACATTGGGCGTCTTTATGTACGCCTCATCCCAGCTGCTACCGGACTGGCTGGTAATCGTTTCGTTTGCCGTCAACGTGCTTGCCAAGTATCCATACGAATTGGACGAAGTTGTTTCCACGCACTGGCGCTTTCTTGATCTTCGAGTACCCACCTTCTCCTCGTTTGTCATTGGCAATGGCATTGAGTTCTGCCTCAATTGCCGCACAGCTCTCTACCTACTGATACCTATCCTACTTGTCCTGCTAGCCAAACGCTCTGGCTGGCATGGAGTCTACACTTACCTGATCCCACACTGCGTTACCCTTAGCTGGCTGCAGGTTTGCATTGTAACGTCTCAGAGCGCAACTGTGTTTGGCGCGATGCGAGCAGCTCTCGGCCTGGCTGGCATCGTTCTGTTTCTGCCCTTATTTGGAATTGTGGCTCTGCTGATACCAGTCTTCGTTGCCATCGATAGCTTGGGCTTGACAAGCGAGCATCTGCGCTGGGGCACCACGGCCGTTGCCTGTATCATGGTGGTGCTGCTCTCCTGCGTTATGGCTGTTAACCGCTCCACACAGAAGTACATCACCATGTTGCAGGTGAGTAGTTAACACTCCAATATTTTCAATACTCTATACTACTTCTGTTTTCAGCTACTGGTGGGACTCACTACCGCATGTGTGCTGGTGTTTCCCTACATGACGTCCAGTTTTAAGGATACTCCTCGGTTTAATGCCATGCCCAATGTGCTCTCTAGCCCAACTGTGGGCATGCACACTCTGTCCGATTCGCTGCAATGGGAACGCTTCTATGAGCTATGCGCCCAGCCGGTGCATGATCAGCCGAACAAAATAAAAGCCCAACTACGCTGCTCCCATCTCAATGGCTTGCCTGTGGCTTGGGAGGGTAAAGTGTCGCACGTTCAGATTGCTCGCGTATTCAATATACTGGAGGATGTGATTGGCAATTATCTGCCCACCTGGTTGGGGCAGTTGTTGCGCTGTGTGCATGGCGACAATATTGCCCAACATTTCGAATGCAATCCCCAACACGAGAAGGACTGCATAGAGTGGCAGCGTGTGATCAAGATGCTTGGTGCACAGAGAGGCCATTGCACGTTGGAGCGTTGGAATCGCTACGAGTACGAGCTGGTCGTTCAGGTGACATCGACCAGTCTGCTAGGACGTGCCATTTCCACATCGGATGTGGTGCTGCGTGCCCATCATGACTTTGGCAATTTTACGCAGCGACTGCATCGTGGCGACCGGATCTCATTCTATGGGACTCTCCACAACTCGCGCCTGCTGGCTAACAATGTGCGCGAACACTTTGTTCTTGGTTCCAGTGCGCCGCCTCAAGTGAATCTGAAAGCCATCGAGTGCTTGGACTGCAAATCCCCCGATCTAGGCAGCATGAGCATACAGCGCATGCTAGTCGCTTCGCCTGTGGATGCACGCATGCAGGACCTGATGCGAGGCATAAAATACTTGTTGAATGCCCTATTGAGTCCATTGATAACATTTAAATAGATACACAAATAGCCATATATTAATATTAATTAAAAACTATGTTTAACTGTTATTTGACTTGACTGTTATTATGTGAAATTTGCTGAACGAGGATCATGCAGAGAACTTGGGTGAATTGAAGACAAAGATCAATGTCCAATGAGACGAGATTTGTGAATCGGTTTGTATTGGACTATAATACGCACATGTGCATACATTAGTCTTGGCAGGGTATCTTCTAGTCAGATACTGTCGACTAGTTCTACGTATGTATATGTACGGTACGAGTAATTTAATGCAAACGACTTTGTACAATATGCAATATAATTCTTTATTGTTATTTAATTTGTTTCTTTTATTATATA